CGTCATGCGCTTCTCTTTCTGCCTCCGGTTGCAGAACCACACGCGCACCACCTCCTTTTCCAGCTGCAGCGAGTCCGCCAGCGAAGTGATCTCCTGCGCGGAGGGTTTGGGACACTTGAGAAAGTGCGTCTCCAGAACCCCCTTCACGCTGACCTCGATGGACGTCCTCTTCTTCCTCTTCCTCCCCTGAGCTGCTATCTTGTCTATACTGCTAGAGCTGCCTGTGGACGAGTCTGCCTCCTCCAGCCACTTGTTCAGCAGCGGCTTTAGTTTGCACATGTTTTTAAAGCTCAGCTGCAGAGCCTCGAACCTGCAGATGGTGGTTTGGGAAAAGACGTTACCGTACAGTGTGCCCAGAGCCAAACCCACGTCCGCCTGCGTAAAGCCCAGCTTGATTCTCCGCTGTTTGAACTGCTTGGCAAAGTGCTCCAGCTCGTCCGAAGTCGGCGTCTCCTCGTCGGAGTGGTCGTGGCAGTGGTGCCCACCGAGGTCGCTGTGCTCGGGGCTGAGTGTGTCCCTGAGGCCCGGGTGCATGCCTTGGCCCTGCGGGTTGGGTGGAGGTGTGAGGCCACCGTGGTCCAGCATGCCGTTGACAGTGAAGCCCGTCTGGGAGTAGATGTTGATCTGCTGCCCGCTGGTGATGGAGGAGTTGTGGGACACCGGAGTTCCCCAGGCTCCCGGGTGGTTGCCATGGTTGTTGTGATGAGGGGAGTGATGCGCTACGTGCGGGGAGCGGTGATGGATGATGCCAAGCTGCAGGTCCTCTCGGCCTGGTTTAACGTCCTGCTGCTCCATGGAGGCCGACCAGGGGCTGCCCTCCGACAGACTGCTCGCCCACTGGTGCCCGAGGGGGTGTCCGTTGCTCTGGACGCTCTGCAGATAATCACTCTGGAGGAGTTTCTGGTGTCCTCTGTAGGGGCTAGCAGGCTGCATGGCCTGGCTGTCCGGGTGGATCATGGGACTGGAGCTGAGCAGGGTGTAGGGGCTGGAGGCAGCTGTGGCCATGCTGGCTGCTGAACCCCACTAGCGCTACTGAAGCGAGGGAGCAGCTCAGCCTCTGACATCTCCCTCTCTCTGGAGTCTCGGCAGCAGCCTGGCACTGACTGACAGCCTCCACCACCACTCACAGACCGACTGAGACGCAGTGACGACGCGTGTCGACCAATGACGGCGCAGATCCCCGAACCTCCGCCTCTGGAAGCAGAGCTTCGGTTAGGAAAGGGTTACTGGCAGTCGAACCGGAAGTGAGTCGGACTGCTGGTCCAGTGGGTCTGGCTTTGGAACGATGTGCGCGTGGAGCGCAGTTCCTGTTTATTAATTAAAGTTTCCAACTGATTTACGCACGAGTTTATTGCTGCTCCTGTCACCCTTGAGCGCGTGCGAAGGAGGAGATTAAAGCGCAATGGCATTTGTTAGACGTGCCAGCACTTAATTTAGAAGGATACAATCAAACCAAGAGCAGTTCTCACTGTTAATTATTAACTTTTAGAGAATACTTCCTCAGGTGTTCATAGAATGAGCCTCTCAAGATACTGTTTTACGCAAAAGGGTTTTACGCACAAGACAATCATTATCCACACTCAGACAAAATAACGAATTTCATGGGCCTATAACTGCAAGCTGGTCTTTAAAATAATGTTTTCATAAGATATTTAAAAAGTAACCTTTCTCTCACAGCCAGACTCACACTTTTTGCTCCTACACATGGAACCAGGGGTCATAGGACATTTCTTTACAACCTAAAAACTTCATCATTTTTACATTTTCTCAAAGAAGTAAATGCGTCCTCACGCATAAGGATACACATACTTCCAGTCTTTAAGAATCTCATCAGGTCCTCTCAGAGATGAAAAAGATCTATCTGCATATCTGAGAGCTAACTTAGCTGCGTAATTATATTTGCCATTAGAAGACTGCGTCCCAGTCTCCTTATTGGTTTGAAATTCCATTAAATATATTGCTCGAGCTCCCAGGTTAAGCTTGATTTAAATTTGCATACATTTTCATACATTTGGGAGAAATAAAAGAAGGCTGCAGCCACCAGAAAGTCATTAAAGAGCGCTGAGCCGAGGAGGTGCTTGTGGAGACAGAGGCAGAGAGGAGGCCGGAGCAGGTGAGCTGACGGCGGGGTGGATGTGTGTGGACAGGGCCGCTGGAGGGTGGACAGGGCCTCGGTAACCGGAGGAATGACAGACAGCGGCAGTGAGGGCAGGGTGATGACAGAACAGCCTCACGTTGTTGTAGCCAATAGGCCTGTAGATTAATGGGAAACAATTCAATAGATGCATTTATTTGTTGTTGTGCTCTAATTCCAGCGTTAGTGTTAGTGCGTAAATTCTTCATGTAGTTTACTCTCTGAAATTTCAGTAAAAGTGACTGAATATTTGATGTGAATGGCAGGGTTGTTCCAGTGGCCTAGTTTGCTGAACTGGATTGCTTCCTTTGAGTCGTTATGGGATGGAATTATGCTGAATTTTATGCAAAATAAATTGTACATTTCTAGCACAATGGCAGTAGTTGGCATGTCTATACAAATCCTGCATTTTCTTGCGTGTCATATTAAATGACGCACCAGAGCGAATTGATTTTTGCAGGATGAATTCTCCATTTAAAGAAAATAGACGTAGCCTATAAGATTGTTTGATTAAATCTGAGCATGTATAGCCGATATTAACCAAATTTGAGCTTTTAAAATTGTTTTGACGCTCAGAATCGCAAAAGAAAAAAAAGATTAAAAAAAAATACAGCCTAAATATTTTTTGTCTCGTTAGAAAAATAAAGTCTGCATTTTGGGGGAGCATAAAGCAGACAGGAGAGGACTTGGAGAGGGGGTTGTATTGCTCTCGATAGTCTAAGTTTCTAAGTGTAACAGATGCTTCTCTAGAAACGCTCCTTGTGCTGATTCCTTTTATTCACATCAACATTTTTCTGCCGTCGAGCGCGTTTCCATAGCGAGGCGAATAAAAGGCAAATCCCTGCTCCGCGCCTCCAATAAAGAGCCCATTCACAGATAACCCGAGCCAGCCCTGCTACACTTACACCATGCAGCACTGCAGGCTCTCTGTCTACCGAGGTGCACATTACTGCTAAATAACACAAACTAATGGCTCATAATTTCTTTAATTTTCTCTTTATAAAATGGCAGTTTATGGTGGGTTGTTATGTTTGTTTAGCTGCTTGTTGGTGTTTGGCTTCTTTGAGTAAATCTTGTGGTGATTATCTTCTGACTCAGATTATTTGCTGTAGGCAAAGTGGAGTAAATAAAACGATTTGTTAACTTTAAACCTCCAGTAGGTGATCCTGTAGAAACAAACAAAACAAATATGAAATGCCTTTCCCCATACCGTCTCTTTCTATTGGACTATAACTTAACGTTTAAATTGACATGATAAAGATTTAGACAGAACAAGTAATTGTGATGTTAGATTAATAGTCTTTTTTTAAATTTATTTATTTTTAAAGCTGCATTGAATTTAATTACTTCCTGGTTGCAGTTCTGTAGCATACTGAAATGGGAATTTACAAAACAGGAATATTTGGGGAATATTTAATTTAGATGGGCTAACTGACTCCATGTTTACATCTATAAAGAACATACAGAAAATATCTATAAAATTATAATTTTCCTGTGGGGGTTTGGTGTGTCTGTCTTTCTCAGTGTCTGTCAGTTTTAATAGGCTTTTATAATATATTATATCTCTCTGTAATAGCAGAATTCAGAAGGCCCATGCTACTTCTTTCTAAAAAAAATGATACAAATGTTAATGGAGTTCGTTTTGTGTGAAAATCTAATTGTGCAGCTCAGAGTAATGACAGTGGTTTTTCTTCTTCTTTCTATTTCATTATACTTTGTTTCCTTTGCCTAAATGCTCTCCTCCTCAGTTTGGTGCTGCAGCCTACAGATAAATCAGCTTTTAGTCTGGCATTGAGACAGCCTTGGGCCTCAGGGCGGGACCTGTCAGTCGGTGTCATGAGTCATGACCTTTGAAAACTTTCCCTAAGAAACCGAAATCTCTGCCCCTGCGTGCCAGATACGGCCTCAAGTTAAAGGTTTGAAACAGATAAATCTGTGTTAGCACTAATTATTTATGTGGGCCAGGTATTCATTTCGGACATTTTTTTAAACTGGATACAAAAAGAAGAAAATTAATTTTCTAAATGACAACGTTAGGACTAAATCATGGTTGCAAATTCATTCTTATCCTGTGGTTTGATTTCTGCTAAAGAGTTGATTATTTGTCTTAATCCCAAGGCTTCGTGTCACCTCTGCCTAGTTGTTTTCTCATCCCTAACAATCACACACACACACACACTTCACAGGCTCCCAGACAGACAGTAAAATCGATATTGCCATTAACCCTTGACGTCCCTAATAAAGGACAGTGACACCGTGTTTAAACAACACGACCCTTCAAAAACAAACCCGAAACTAATCTCACATCATGTCGGTGACAAGGTCGTATGTGTCTTTCATCTTCAACTTTGAAACAAACGTCCTGTTTGAACTCTGATTTCGTGAGCTTTAGAAAACTAGTGCAGGCTCTGTCCTACATGGTCCATCGCTGTCAGATCATACGTAAACCCTCACCTCCTCTGTGCTGTCTCTGTGTGTGTGTGTGTGTGTGTGGTGTGTGCTGTGTGTGGTGGTGTGTGTGGTGTGTGTTGTGGTGGTGTGTCCAGCAGGGGTGAAGAGGAGGAAATACATTGGACACACCAATGAGTGAATGTATGGGAAGCTAAAAAATCATCCCATGAGAGCACACAAGTGTAAATGTACATTCATAATGCATGAGGCCCGGTGCGTTTGTTTGGTCTGCAGTGCGGAGACCCTGCGCGCTTCTGAGGGGCTTAGCTGTGTCTTTTAGGGTTTTTTTTGCTTTTCAACAAGTCTAGAGTGAAGTCCTCGGATTTTTTTTTTTTTAATCTACATGGAGAAAATGAATATGTGTGTCCGTTTCGGCTGGTTTCACCTGACAGCCTCTGGTTAGAGCTTGGATTTGGTTGAAATTGCCAAAAGTTTCCACGAAATCTAGCGAGAAAAGACATGGAAATTTACATTCAATAATCACAACATGCCCAATGTGGGATTGCATTCTGATTTATTTTTAGGATATTAAACCCGTATTGGCGTGATATAATTTGACTTCTTCAAACGATATGCAATCTTATTTTTAATTATGGATTTTCCCACTCATTTTCACCGCGGAAGGGAAGCAATTCCTAGATAAAAGATCAACCAAGCTTTCACTGATTCCGACTAAGTGTAATGTTTTGTTTTATTTAAGGGGAAAAAAGGATGCAAACACACATGAACCTGTTTGAAATGAGGGTCTTACTTTGAATTAGGGAAACATCGCAAATAGGATCATATTGGCCTAATTGTACACTTATGGCAACCAGCAGCGCTCTCGAAATGGCATCCATTTTATGCCGTTAAATGTGACATGATAATGAAAGGTTTAAGTCTTTGTTTAAGGATGAAATGAATGTAAAACCACATATAGCTGTAACGCTGTAAACTTCATGTTTGTTCACTAGAGCCGTATAAACATGATACCACAGATCCGAGGGAAATGATTATAAATATAATGTATCTAAATATGAATGAGCTGTGTTACATTTAATTGACCGTCATGACAATATTCCCACAGTGAAGATAAACTTTAAACACCCTTGATTTTTTTTTCTTTTTTCAATCAGATAAAGTTGTTTTGAATTTCAAAGTTCCTTCAAAATTCATGTCGTTTAATTTCCTGGAACGACTGAAAGGCACCAAGTGCAACGTGAAGCTTCAATTAAATGTCTCAGGTCTGGATATCCAACTATGATACAAATCCCAGCGTAAAATTATTTTTTGGTTTGTAGTTAATTAGAAAATGAATTCAGTCAAAACAACACACAGGCCTGAGGTCAGAGAGTCTTTCAGCTCCTGGAAATGTCTCCGAGAACAAACACTCACTTGCACAAAAGCAATTGTTGCAATATTATTTTTATTATGTGCAAGAATTTGAAACACCTGAGCAGAATTGAAACTGTTTGTCCCTCTTGCCTTCCCTCAAACAA